CCCTGTGTGTGTGTGTGTGTGTGTGTGTGTATGTGTGTGTTTCCTTCTTTTGATTTTGTTGTTCTGAGACTTTGTATTCCCTCTGTTTCCAAGGTTATAGCTCACCTCTTCAGATTGGCATCATATTTCCAGCATCTTTTGTAGAGCTAGGTTTGTGAATATATATTGATTATTTTGGATTTATCATGGGATGCTTAATTTTCTCCATGTATGGTGATTGAAGTTTTGCTGGTTATAATAGTCTGGGCTGGTCTCTGTGAGCTCTTATAATCTGCAGGACATCTGGCCCTTCTGGCTTTTACAGTCTCCATTGCTAAGTCTGTTGTAATTCTAACAGATTTGCCTTTTTATATGTTACTTGGTCTTTTATTTTACTTTGCAGCTTTTACTATTGTATGTGTTGTCATTGTTCTATAAAATTAATGCTTTGATTGTTCTGTCCTAAGAGGACTTTATTTGGTGTTCTTTTTTCTTCTTGTATCTTAATAGGCATCTCCCTCTTTGGGTTAGGAAATTTTTCTTTTATGTTATTGCTGAAAATGTTTTTCTAGTCTTTGTTCTGGGAACCCCCTCTGTTTCTTCTCTATCATCATCATTATTAGAGTTGGTCTCTTCATAGTATCCTAGATTTCCCAGATGTGTTATTTCAGGAGTTTTTTAGATTTAATGCTTTCTTTGACCAATATAATCATTTTTCTATTATATCTTCAGTGTCTGAGATTCTTCCATGTCTTGCTTTCTATTAGTGAAGTTTGCCTCTGTAGTTCCAGTTTGAACTCCTAAGGTTTTCATTTGTAGGATTTCCTCAGTTGGGTTTTCTTATTCTGTTCTATTTCCATTTTAAATTCTTGAACAGTTTTATTGATTTCCTTTCACTGTTTGTGCTTTCATGGATTCTTTTTTTTTTTTTTTTTTTTTTTTTTTTTTTTCGAGACAGGGTTTCTCTGTGTAGCTTTGCGGCTTTCATGGATTCTTTAAGGGATTTATTCATTTCTTCTTTAAAGAATGCTCCATCATATCCATACAGAATATTTTAATGTATTTTCTTGTCCTTCAGCTACATTGGAATATCCAGGGCCTCCCATTGTAAAACTGCTACACTCTAGTGGAAAGCTATTGTCCTCACCATTATTGATTACATTTTTATGATGTTATCTAGGTCTGGGGGGTTGGGAAGACCATAGTTCTATGTGCAATCAGGTTTTGTCTTTGTTTGGTGGGTTTCTTGTTCCATGGCTTCAGTTACCTCTCTGTTTTTTAGCAAAGATTGGTGGCTGTGTGCTGCCTCTTAGGAACTTTTCTCTGTATCTGATAACTGCAGCCACTGGTGTTTTCAGGCACACTGCACTTCTGAGTATTTTGACCTTACACCTAGAAATGGAGATAAGGTAGGTTGTTGAGGGGGTTTACAGGAAGGAAGAAAGCAGAGCGTCACACCAGGATCTGCTTATTTAGTCTCTACAAAATGGTGATAGAGAGTGAAGAGAGATTACCACAGAACTTCTGCTATAGAGCCAGGGATGGGACTATGTGATGGGTCTGGAGGAATGGAAAATGAGGTGAAGATCTGGATTAAACTGAATAAATAAGTTTACAGGGGTTGCCTTCTGGAATTTTGGGGTGAAGTAAAACAAGGAGTGGAGGGAGGGAATCTAGTAGAGGAAGGTCTGTGGGATCCACAAGCAATGTGGGTACAAGTAAAGGAAAGCGGTAGTAGGTACTATGATGCTAGGGATGAGATTGGACAACAGGATTTTGAGTTTAGGAAGGAGTGATGAAGGTCTTCAGTTAGTGTACCTGCTTCTCTGGCCTGCTCAACTGGGTGTTCCCATGAAATGCCTTTTGGTGTTGGAGACTGGGATAATGGGATGAGTTGGGGAATGAAAATTAGAAGACTAGGGTTTTGTGACCCATTGAAGATGAAGTCAGAGAAGAACATGGGACAATAGTGGCTATTCTGCTACAGAGTTCCTTATGAAACAGGGGGATTGGATTTGGAGGAGAGGGAGAGGTGAGAATCTGTGGTCAGTCTTTCTGCCTCCCTGGAAGTAGTGGTTGGTCCCTTATTGGAATTTTATGCCAAGTTTTAGTATTCTGTAGGCTTAATAGTGAAAAAAAAATGTAGAAATTATAAAGTGACTTATGTGCCATCCAATATTTACTATAAACCACTATTTGAACATCAGCAACAAAAATTATATATTTTGCTGGGTGTAGTAATGCATGCCTTGAATCCCAGCACTCAAGAGGCAGAGGCAGGTAGACCTCTGTGAGTTCGGGGCTAGGATGTTATACAGAGTCAGTTACACAGAGAAACCCTGTCTTAAAAAAATCACACACACACACACACACTTAAAATGTCTTTTATTGAAAAAATGCTAGATAATTTACCTATTATACCACCCTACAATTTCCAGTCTTTTTTTTTTTTTTTTTTTTTTTTTTTTTTTTTTTTTTTTTTTTTTT